GTTTTTTGCAGCAATTGAAATGCCAGAACTTTTAGATAAATAATGAGTCAAATAAAATCATTTTAGAAAATGTTTAATTTCTTTCAATTTCAAATAGAAAAAAAAAAACCCCCTGAAAAGTTGAAATATAAAACTCAAGTTTATGAGAAAAATCACAACACAATCACTGTATATTATATAAATTTCTTAAACCTTGAAACATATAATTGTTATAATTTTTTGTCATTTGAACTGTTTCGAAACTAAATGTAAAACTAAAACGTGACTAAAACTAAATATATTCTTCTTGAGTTAAAGTAGTCAGTATTTAATTATATAATTTGATAGAAAAGTATTTTCACGACAATTGATTCTAGCCGATGTCCATACTTTACTAGGCCTGTAAATTATCAGATTAATGGCGGATAATGATTTTATTATTATAGATATAATAGTATTCACTTTTTTAAATTTATTATCTGAAGTTAGGTTATACCCCTTCGAAAGCGTTGAAATTACAAAAAATATAAAAATTCACGCGGCTAATTGAAAATAAACGATTTCTGTGAACCAAGGTCACCTATATTTTCTACTAACCCATAACATTATTCTGGAAGGGTGACGTTACAAGTTGAAAAAAACCCTAAAATATTGCACTTAGAAATTTTAAAAATTATGTTATTGGTGAAAATAAGGAGTTTTGTTTGCAATTACTCCAAATGACCCCCTATTCACTTATTTAAAACACAAAAAATATGTATCAAGTTTATAGAAAAGAAACTCCTCTCTAAAAATGACATTGAGGATTGAAATTTAAAAGTTTCAAACGAAAAAGAAATGTGGAACAGTCATTGTTAAAGGGAAACAGTAACAGGCTTCACAATCTGTCCCCTATTTCCTTAAAAGTCCCCTTTTTTCAATTTTGGCCCCTAAACGTACCCTATTTTGAAAATTTCCCTTAAATTCCCCCTATTTTTTTCGTCGCTGGAAATCAATTATATTCAATAATTTTTAAGTAATTCTGCAAAAAAATTCAATTACCTTGATAACCAACAAAATTCTCCCCATAACATCAATTAATTTTAGGAATTTTCAAATGAAATTCTTTTCCAAACTTCAATTATTTTGATAAATATCAAAATTCTTCTCAAGAATTCAATTATTGTCAAAAATTTTAATTAAATTCCTGGCAAAATTTCAATTATTTAAACAAAATTTAATAGAATACTTTGCACGAATTCAATTATTTTTATAAATTTTAATGTATATCTCGTCAAGAATTCAATTATTTTTATAAATAGCAAAATTTTTCGCCAAAAATTCAATTATTTTCAAAGATTTAAATAAAATTCTTTGCAACATTTCAATTATTTTTAAAAGTTTTTCGCAATTCAATGCATTTAAATATTTACTATTTTCATAAAATTTATCAACAGATTTAATTATAGAAAAAACTTGTTGATACAATTCTACGAAAAGATTCAATTATTTTTATAAACAATAAAATTTCATTTACGAATTCAATTATTTTTATCATAGAATTTCAAATATTTTTAATACAATTTTAAATAAATTCCTTGAAAAATGCAATTATTATTAAAAATTTTATTAAAACTTGAGGAAAGAATTCAATTTTAAGAAACATTCAATTATTCAATAAAACAATAAAATTCGTTGCAATAATTCAAATATTTTCATAAATAACGATTAATTTGTCGCAGAAAATCAATTATTTTAAAAAATTTTTAAGTAATTTTGCAAAAGAATTCAATTATTTTGATAAACAACAAAATCGCACAAATTCATCCCATAAAATCAATTATTCTGAAGAATTTTAATAAAATTATTTTCCAAAATTCAATTATTTTGATAAATATCAAAATTCTTCTCAAGAATCCAATTATTGTCAAAAATTTTAATTAAACTCTTGGCAAAATTTCAATTATTTAAACAAAAATTAATAAAATACTTTGCACGAATTTAATTATTTTTATAAATTTTAATGAATATCTCGTCAAGAATTCAATTATTTTTATAAATAGAAAAATTTTTCGACAAAAATTCAATTATTTTCAAAAATTCAAATAAAATTCTTTGCAACTTTTCAATTATTTTTAAAAGTTTTTCGCAATTCAATGCATTTAAATATTTACTATTTTCATAAAATTTATCAACAGATTTAATTATAGAAAAAACTTGTTGATACAATTCTACGAAAAGATTCAATTATTTTTATAAACAATAAAATTTCATTTACGAATTCAATTATTTTTAATTGAATCATCGCAGAATTTCAAATATTTTTAATACAATTTTAAATAAATTCCTTGAAAAATGCAATTATTATTAAAAATTTGATTAAAACTTGAGGAAAGAATTCAATTTTAAGAAACATTCAATGATTCAATAAAACAAGAAAATTCGTTGCAATAATTCAAATATTTTCATAAATAACATTTAATTCGTCGCAGAAAGTCAATTATTTTCAAAAAATTTTAAGTAATTTTGCAAAAGAATTCAATTATCTTGATAAACAACAAAATCGCATAAATTCTTCCCATAAAATCAATTATTCTAAGGAATTTCAATAGAATTCTTTTCCAAAATTCAATTATTTTGATAAATATCCAAATTCTTCTCAAGAATTCAATTCTTTTGAAAAGTAATAAAATACTTTGGAGAAATTAAATTATTTTCAAAATTTCTTAAAAATTCTCGTCAAGAATTAAATTTTCTTCATAAATAGATAGGGAAATTCTTCTCAAGAATTAAATTATTGTAAAAAACTTTTTAAAAATTCTTCTCAAGAAGTCAATTATTTTCAAAAATTTTAATAAAATTCTTCTCATGAATTCTATTGTTTTCAAAAATTATTATTTAAATTCTTCTTAGGAATTCAATTATTTTTTAAAAAATTTAATAAAATTCTTCAAAAAGTTTTTAATTATTTTCAAAAATTGTTATAAAATTCTTTAATATAATAAATTTCATTAAAATTTTAATTAAATTCCCTAAAAGAAATGAAATATTTTCAAAAGTTGTTAATACAAATTCTTCGTAAAAATTAAATTTTAAGAAACATTCAATATTACTTATTTTTGTATTTAAATAATTGATTAGAATTAAATTATTATTTTTCGTACTTTTAACTACAATTCTATAGAATTAATTTTTTTGTTGAAAAAGTTTAATTGAATAATAATTGATGTTATTGATTTAAAGTAGAATTTTAGTTTGAAAATTCTAGAAAATGTTAATTGAATTGAAATGATAGAAATAATTTTGAAGAAATTACAATAACAATATTTTTATAAGAATAAAATAATGATTTTGTCAGTCGGTCATCTTTAATTATTATAAGTTGTTGAATATTTCAAAAAGGTTTGAATTTAAATGTTTTAAAAAATTTTAATTCCTACGGAAAAATAATAATGATTAAATATTTATTTCAAATAAAACCATTGATGTTTTCCAGGGTTCCTACAGAATCTGGAAATCATGGAAATGGTATGGGATTTTTAAAAGGTTTCTGGAAATCAGGCAAATCATGCGGAAAAGGCCTGGAATTTTTAAAAGTTTCTAAATTTTTTCTGTTTTCCATTTTTTCTTTTCAATAAAAATTCAATTAGGAATTTTAAGATATAAAATATATATTATATGACGTGGAAATTAAATTTAAAATTCCACTGGAATTTCCTAAAAATTTGACCTGGAAATTATGGAATTTTTATGGTCCCCTAAAAGTCCCCTGTTTTTTAAATTTTCAGTCCTCTATTTCCCCTAAAATACTTTTTATAGGGGCACTGTGAAGCATGCAGTAAACAAAATAGTATAATACTACATATTAGATAATAAAATCTGAATAGATAAAATGTAACCTGGTTATAAGTGAATATGGTGACTATTATACATTTAAGTTATTATGCTTTATTATAAGTAATATTTTCTGAATACTCAATAGAATATGACAAGAATTCAATTGAAAAAAAATTTTTTTTTGTATTCAGTATTATCGAAAGAATTCATTTTTTTTGTATTCTTTTTTTCATCCGGTGAAGATGATATCAAATTCTAGGGATCGACTACATTGGACAAGTATTAACAAGGATATCACGTTTCTTGACAGCTCCTCCTGTTTGAATACAGAGGTATTACATACATTAATCATTAGATGCTTGGAGAGAAAGGAGAATAAAAGTGTTTGTGCCATGACGACTTTCAAGGCTTGAGGGCTTCGTACAACAATACACATGTCACAATTAATTGAATGAGAACACGAACTACTCTCTCATTCACTGAATAAATTTCTAACATCTTCCTAAATCTGTTTTTATAAATCTCTTTTTTTTTTTGATTGAATCTTAATTCCAAATCCTTTCTTTCACATATTGCATCATTGGCTAATGAGATTATACTGCTATTATCTCTATCCTATCATTTATTAAAATTAGACAGAAAACTTATATTGCTTAGTGAAACTGTTCCACTTTTTTTTTTTTGGTTTTTAAAGAAACGAATGTTCGCAAAATTTCAATCTCATAAAATATTTTTTGTTAATTGGGAAACATTTTGTCGCACCATACGGAAATTTTCACGGTTATTAATTTTATTTGATTTGAGAAAAAAACATCCGTTGTAAACATTGTGAGACATGTGTAAAAAAACCTCTGCCAAATGGTTGTAACTTAAGCAGTTTTGGTTTCTTTCTAAAAATGAAAAATTCTGAAAAAAGTGATGAGACAAAAATGAACTACTTTTTTGAAGCAATCGTATTAAAACGATACGCTATACGATTATTGCTCTGCTTTCGAAAATTAAATAATTGTAATTATGTGAAAGGTTCGATTGTCATGCAGGAAGTTAAAAGTCGCAATATCAGAGTCTTGTTTCCTGAATGACTCGTATAACGGGATCAAGGCGTCGCTAAAATTTTATATATATATACGTATTCGTGCGTTCCTTAATCACATATGCCCGCACTTCACGCAATTCACTAATGCGAGTCACGATTCTTTTTTCAGAAGGTGCGGTCTCTTACTCTGGTTTTATGGCTGGGACTCGTTCTTGCATTCGTACAAAATGGTGAGCTTTATTTTCAATGTTAATTACCTCTCGACTATATTCGTTCGCTGACATAACATATACTCTGAAAAAACATTTCTATAAAATTTTTACCAAGTTTCTTTCCTATTACAAATTTATCGACACGGTCCTTTTCATTTCTTGATATTACCGTCTAAGACATATGGAATTCTAGAGTAAAAAAACGGTGTTTTTGTTAATTTTTTATACCGTTTGAATGACATACAATAATTTGTATGTTGTTAATTTGTTGACTTTTGAGTTTTGACTAGTGATTAATTTACTAAATCCTAATTAAAAGCCTAAAGAGGATGGTACAATCTCTTATAACAAAATTTGTAAAATTGACTGATCTCCCATTCAGACCAAAAAAATTCAAACTAATACGTTTGAAGAAACTACTGTTTTATCAGAAGGATTCGAAAAAATCGAAATCCTGTAATAAAAAAAAATTTCCGCAGTGTTTTCAAATTAACTTTCTAGCACGGAAGCACGCTGTATGAAATTCATTCTGACCGTATATACCTATTATGAAATATCCTCTGTGAGAAAATGCGCTATATGAAAGAACCGTAATTTACAAATGTGTGTGGAAGAAAAAAAGTTATAAGAGAGACAGTTTTCATTTTTCAAACAATTAATAATTTAATACCCAGATATATCGAAAAATTGATGATTCACGTACCAAATAATCTCAATTTCTTTAAGGCACTCATTAAGAAAAAAAAAACAATAAACAAAATTGATTGAACTTGTATCGTGCCGGAATCATTAACAATGAGACTGCATTCTGATAAACTGTTTGAAAGTTATTTATTTTCCATGTGTTCTATTTTAAGTTTAAACGTCACAATTCAATGTATGGTTATAATAATAAATTGTATACTTTATAACTCATCGTTGAAATTATGATGATTCATGTAACTACCGATACCGCAGAGAATATCGGATTTGTTTGTTATAAGATGAGGATGCAATTAATTTAATTTTTTTTAATTAATCTTTCATTGTATTATTGTATATAAAACAAGAAAATTTTGTAATATTTAATTAATACCTTATTATAATTAATAATACTTAGTAATAATTACACGAACCTACTTCATAAAGCTTTTAAACAAATCGATGGGTACTGCGAATAGTAATAACTATCATTTCGTTACCGATGAAAAAAATTTTAACTACATGATGAAAATAAAAACTGATCTAACATTTTGATAATCATTACAAGTGTTTAAACTATTTTTTGCGTAATTTAGTTATTAGTATAAAATTATTATGAATATTACGATCTTTAAGGGGAGACTTCAACAACATTTGTCAAAAAAATTACTTATCCCCTTCGCTGTTTGGAAAAATATTCATATGATTGACACAAAATGTCCAGCAAAATCTGATAGATGAATTTTTATGAAACTTAGTATACAAGTGTTTTTGCGGTCGCTAAATTCGAATATGACGTCAAAAAAGTAATTCAAAATGGTGGATCCAATATGGCGGACAAAATTTTTCAATTTTAAACAGGATATTTATAAACATTAGTATAAAAGGATTTTTGGGGTAGCTGAATTTAAATATGACCTCAAAAAAAATTCAAAATAGCGGATCCAATATGGCGGCCAAAATTTTTCAAATTTCAAGCAGGATATTTATAAAAATTAGTATATATAAAGGTTTTTGGGATCGACGATTCTAATTTTAACGTACAAAAATTTAAATATCTATTAAAAATGTTGGATAACGGATTTATATTTTGTGCGGATTCTTTAAAAAAAAATTTCCGCCATTTTGGATCCGCCATTTTTAATTTTTAAAAATGAATATAAAATTTGAATTCAACGACCAAAAAAACCCCTCAATACTGAAATTGACAAAAATCCAAATGAATTTTTAAAAATTATGGCCGACATTTAGGATCCTTGAATTTTTAAAAACGAAGGTCAAATTAAATTCAAAAAAACAATTTTTTTGATATAAAAGAATTTATTTTATAATTTACATAAAAAAATTGCATTTATTTTGCACTAAGAAGTTCACAACCCAACGTTGGGTCGTTAACAGGCAACGGGTTAAATCGTCCATAAAATTATTTTTACATTAATTTTTTGAGAGAAAATCAATGGTCAGAAAATATAGTTTTTGGATTTTTATTTTTCTTAAAAATTGATAGATTTTAAAATCTATCAGTAATTTTGTAGAAAATAAGATTTTGTATTCACAAAAAAATTGCCGAACAAAAAAGATGATTTTTTTTATTTTTGAAGAAAACATTGTTTTTAGGTTAAAAATGTTAAAAAAAAATTTTATTCAATTTTTTATATGGAAATTCACTTATTTATTTTTCTAACTAATTTCAAATCATAATTTTTTTAAAATAAAAAGAATAAAATACAAAGAAATTATGATAAAAATGATTTGAAATTAGTTAGAAAAATAAACAAGTGAATTTCCATTTAAAAAAATTGAATAACAATGGTATTTTTTAATATTCCTAACCTAAGGACAATGTTTTATTTAATTTTAAATGCTTTAAAAATAATAAAAATCATATTTTTCATTCGGCAATTATTTTGTAAATACAAAAACTTATTTTCTATCAAATTACAAGTGGATTATTTTCTGATCGTTGATTTTCTCTCAAAAAAATTAATGTAAAACTAATTTTGTGGAAGATTTAAATCATTTTCTTGATATAGTTAAAAATGTTGTCGAAGTCTTCCATTAAATTTTTGCTATTTTAGAAGTAATAAAATATTTAATTATTTTTATAATTTTGAAAGTTATAATTTTTCATTTATGAAATTTACTCCAACAAATATTAATTAAAGTAAAGAAAAATTTGAAGAGAACAGAGATTACGAATTTAAACTTATTTTTTCAAAGTTCAAAATTGTCGGATTCAATATGGCGGACGAAAGTTAAAAAAATTAACGGTTTTCGGTGTAAATTGATATAAAAAGGTTTTTAGGGTCGCTGATTACGAATCTGCGGTCAGTTTTTCAAAATTAAAAATGTCGGATCCAATATGGCGCACAATATTTAAAAAAATTAACGGTTTTTGGTATAAATTGTTTTCTACGGATTCTCGGACTCGTTGATTACGAATCTGAACTTAGTTTTTTAAAATTGTGATTCCAATATGGCGGACGAATTTTTAAAAAATTATTCGATTTTTATGAAACTTGGTTTCTAGGTGTACATTGTATATTTCAATTATTAAATCATTTATTATACAATTATTTTCAATAGTTAAAACCTTTGGAACTAAGAAATGATATTTTAAATTTAACGTACCCATAAACATAATTGTGATGATATTTATAGAAAAATTTACCTTTTAATTAAAAAGTGTGATACAAACAATTAAAATTTTAATTTTCTCAAGAAATGTTTGTTTTAAATATTCCTTTTTAAATAATTACTGCTGAATTATTGTTTAATGTAAAAGTCCATTGAAAGTCTGTATGGAATATCGTTAGACTTTCTGCAGATTGTTTCACTTGGTTTTTCTTTATGTGAATGAAAATAAATTTCATATTAATTTAATAATTTTACTAAATTAAGGATGATTGCAATAATTTGCAGTGAAGAGCAATGATAATTTGAAAACAAAACATTCCAAATGACTTTCACTGCCAGATTTAAGAGATTTGCTTATATTAATGAATGCCTGCTTATTCAAAGTCAGAAATGCATATTATATAGTTGGGACTACTGACGTTTTAAGGAGTAACGGCCTTTCTTAGTACGGCACGCCTTCCTTAGAGTAGAAATTTCCACTCACCAGATGTCTTTTGGTTATACTAATATAACCATAAGAGAAAATTATAATGAATAAGAACATCATCATTATTAAAAGATGTTCTTGATGTTTAAATCGATCACAAGTTTTTTCCTAAACAAAATTTATTTTAATTTTCTAGTTTTCCGATATTTTCGCAATGTTTCATTTTTTATTTTATTTATTTTTTTCGGTTAATTCTTTCTTTGGTTTATTCTTTGGTTAATTTTAAAGATAAATGGTTAATTTTTTTTTGAAAAGCTTTTATTTAGCTAAAAAATGAAAAATTTTTTTTTTCTGTTTTAAATTTTTATTGTAGTGTTGTTTTTTGTTTATTTATTTGAATTTACATGATTTCTTTTCCAAAAACGGTGATGGTAAAAAACTTTTCTCGTCGTCCCAAAAGGGCCAAAAAAGTACAATATCAAAAGATGACAATTTTCAGGACAAAAATGAAGAATTTTATTATTGAATTATATTTATGAAACATTAAACAATAAAAAATGGTGTGTAAATTTTATTATTCTTCTAAAAGAAAATTATTATTATTATACAACAGAATATTATTATTATTATTATACAACAGAATATTTAACTTTTAGCGTAAAAAAATAAACAATTTTCCTTATGCGTCAAAATATTTTAGTTACGATTGTTTCCGTAAGTAAAATGTGAAACTATCTCGCATCTAAAACTATTAACATTTTCCTAAAAACGTGAATAGGTTGTAAGAAATAAAAGTAAAAATAATTTTTTTTAAGTGAAGTATTGTCGTTGTAAAAATAGAATATGGCCTTTTAGTTGTATAATTTTTCTATAACAATTAGTATCGCCCTAAAAGAAATCTAATAGGAGGATTAGAAAAATTGCTTTTTTCTTTGTTATTTCGATCTTATCATGGTCAATCGTCAGTGACAAAGAGGAACTTTGATTTATAACAATAAAACCCTATATTACAGTCTACAGTTAGTTTTCTGACTTTCATCTTTTTTAATTCTATTCTAAAAGTTTTTATCTGAATTCAGTATGTTTGCAAGCACATTTAATGCCACTACACATATTCGTACTCTTGATTCATTTTTAAAACACACTACCTCTATCAATAGTTAATTATTCAATGTAAATAAATTTCTTTAAATAGATACAAATTTTAAACGCATCATTAAAATTAAAAGCAATTTGATATTTTAGTGTTCTTAATGTCGCTGAATTTATAAAT